CTGGCTCCTACCCCTTGACCTGTTCGGCATGGGTGGCCCTACCAGTAGCTATGCTACTGCCGGCATAGCTCTCAGGGTCTCAGGAGCTCTCAAAACCCACCAACATGATAAGGTGGAGATACCATTCGTGGGGTTGCATAATTATATTATATTGAAATTTTAAACAATTACCTTTATCTTATATTGTAAATTGGTTACTGTAATACGACTAATTATATTCAACCTTCAAACTTGTCTTATATTATAAACTGGTTTTTAAATAACTGTCATATTGTATAAGCATGATTAGTAAATAATATTTGGACTGAATTTTTTATCTTAAAATTGTCAATGTCTTACTTATTATTTTCAAGATAAATTTTTAGATGTGACTTAAATCTTGTATACTATATACAAACTTGTTATTTTAACAACTGCTTGATTTCTAAGCAAGATGAGTTTATATTTCTGGACAATTCCTATATCTATTGGTTATTTCAACCTTGTAAGGCTTTTACGGAATGTGAATAAATTAATGAAAAAAAAACAGCCATGACCTAGCTATATGATCAGCAACCAACAATGGCCTATAAAATTTCAACTGATTTCACTTCCATGGTTACACAGTAAAGCTCAGCTGTGTGAGGAGAATGTGCAATGTCACTGCAGCAATATTCATGCTGATAACTGATTTCAACACTATTTTAAAATTCACATCATTGAATGGCATGGTAATCATAACACATGTATCACCATACTTACAAAATACCTATTTTTCTTTTTAATCCATTTGATTTAAGACATTTTATTCTCATTCTTATTCTTCTTCTATTTAACCTTAAAATTCAGTCTCTAATATAGCCATTATTAATAGTTAATTCTTATTATAATACAAAGTTTATTTTGAGATTTCTGAGTTTTGGGATTTTGTCCAATACTAATATTGTAAACAATCCATGATTTCAGAAACTTTATTTCCGTCTATCCTCAGATGAAAGGGTGAGTTGGCCCCAATCACTAACTACATCTGCGTCCTTTCATGTCAAAACAACACAGGTCACAATCTTACAACTTCAGAATTCAATGATTTTTTGTGATAGACTGAATTCCCAACAGAGATAAGTATCTCCCCAGAGTTTTACTGCTTTATGGCCACTGGATTTTGGAGAGCAGATATCCAAATGTCAAAACACTCATTTTACTTGGCATATGTTGTCTTTGAAAAGGTGACATGACTTTCTGCCCTAATTGAGACACATAGCTCATTTTATGCCCATTTAAAAGTTGTCATTCATAATGGCCTGTTACACATGAGGAAAGAGGCCCAATATCAGGTAGGGGGCGTGGTGGGCCATAGAACTGATCTTGACACTGTGGAGAAAAGAGAAACCTCTTGCCATTGTCAAGAATCACACCCAAACCAACCAGTATGCAGCCTGTCATTACACCAACCAAGCTATCCCCGCTCCTATTTGACCTCTGAACAATGAATGGTCAATCTTGTTTTTATGTATCCCTTCACTGCCTGTGAATTTAGAATAATACACCATGCAAGGTCTCAATCTGTAGTCCCATAGATGTTTCCTTCCAACAGCACCATGCAGACAACCCGTCTGCTGTCTCCACTTTGATGGGAATGAAAGTGCAGCTGGGCATATGCTTCCATAATAGGCTTCTTTCATCAGAGTTAAACACTTTCTTCGAGGTGAAACCTAATTAGGCAATCACTACTCTGAAGAGAACAGGGAATTCTTTAGCAATAGCACAATCTGCAGCTGGAGTCCTGTCAGTTATCTTGAGAATGTGGAATTCTTGGTGACATTTAGAGCATTCAAACCACCCCCAACTTGTAGCAAAAGACATCTGATCCTTTGCATCTTTATTCAGATCTTCATAAAGTTCATCAACTTCTCTTCAATAACCATTCCAGATAAAGGCATATTTTGCTAGTTGATGCTCAGCCCATGTGGCAAGCATCCTTTCCCAATTTCTTAACTTTGTCAGGCCAAGATTTTGTAACTCTAACAAACTGAGGTTCAGATTCAACTGAGCATTCTTATGAATTATATTTGCACTATCACAGATAAATCTCACTGTAGAATCATGCAGTCTCCTGGCCCCTTGCATATCAGTGTTATGCTCCCCTATACTGAACCAATTTAGAAATTCTAAACTCACTTCCAAAGAATTGGATTTTCCGACGCTTCTTAACCTGATCTTTATATACATTTCTATTTTCACTCAGATTCATTTCTCTCTTTCCAGCCATATTTTCAAAAGGGGATTTACACATAAAAATATTATCACTAAAAGTGGAAATAGAAAGACAGTAATGAGGGCACCAAATGAATATTGAGCTTGGTGGAAAAGCAGGAAATGTTGACTTATTTGGGATGCTGCACAGGTAACTTGGTAGGCATTCACAGCTGCCTTTACAGTGGCTTGAAAGAGGACAGAGACGCACACTGCCACACCTGTATAAAACCATGGATATGCAAAAATGCAGCAAATGGACGCATATACATCTAGAACCACTTGAATGGGTATTTCCAGCAAGACATCCCTTTGCACCAGAAAAGCTATTCAAAATACAGTAATGTGTATAACTTCCACATCTAAGGACAAACACTGTAGTGGTTATATAGATAAAAAAATGAGTTGCGGTGTACATACGAAGGCAAAAGAAGGTCATTTCCAACAGTTCCTACAAAATATGACAAATTCACGCAGCTTTTCTATAGTACTCGGCTGTGAAGTTCCGTTAAGTAGAGGATGATGAGGTAGTCAGTGCTGGATGGAGACAAAAACCCAGTGCTGTTTCCTTTAAAGCCACACAGTAAACCACTGTCATGTTATTGCAAGTAGCATGTTTATGTCTCACCTGAAGACTCTGTATAAGATTTACACTTGTTAAGAATTATGGTGTGGTACTTATGATCAATATGTATATCATGCTGGGGATACACAATTTTAATAGGATGACCTCTTACAATATAGTTACTTGAAATGTCGTGATAGAACTGGAAGGACAACATTATTATTAAGAAAAGAACAAAAAGTGTACAAATTTCCCAGACTGTTACTGTTGTAACTGCCTCAATGAAAGAAGACGAGAGGGGAGGCCAAGGTCACACTTCTGCAAGCCTATTGTATCAGTCTGCCACGTGATACTGCGATGTGAACACACACTGTTTTTACACGAATGCTTTTTCAACACTGCATTTTTTTTGTCTGTGACAGATGGCAAAATTTAGCAACATATCTGCATCAAGTTTTGCATGAAGCTCGATAAATCTGCTACAGAAGCCCTTGAAATGCTTCATGAGGCTATCGGAGAACATTCTTTAAGCTGGACAGTGGTTTCTGAATGGCATTCACATTTCAAGGCTGAAGAGGGTGAATGTTCAGGGCTACCAAGCACCAGCAAAATGACAGAAAAGGTTGAAAAATTTTGAAAACTCACCCACAAAAACCACTGTAGAACAATCTATGAGCTCTCAGACACTGTTGGGATCAGTTGCCAGGAGATCTCAACAGAAAATCTGAACGTGTGCCACACTGCTCCTTCACCATGACAATGCACCCGCCCACGTCCCTCGCAACCACAGAGTCTGTGACTAACAACAACGTGCTTATCATTCCCCATCCTTCCTACTTGCTGGGCTTAGACCCCTGTGATTTCGCTTAGTTTACCAAAATGAGCATGAAACTGACTTCCATGGTGGTTTTGAAGCGTGGAAGAAAATGATGGGATCGCTGTATACGTTCCCAAGGAGACTATTTTGAAGGAGATGGCAGCCAAAATTGAGTAAGTTAAACCAGCATTTCTTTTTGACCTAGTCCAGGAACTTTCCAATAACATCTCGTATGGGAAGTGCCTTGATCTACTGTCACCATCTCCTATGAGTGGGTTCAGTGATTACATATTGTTGTCACAGCCCTTTCAATGATAAAGCATGTATCTGTCACAGCATAAGAATAAACATTAAAATGTATGTTTTGCCATTGCACATTATATCAAACTAGCAGTGTTTGGCTTTAGCACCAGCAATGCTGAATCCTCAGGTTTTAAGTCCTCCTGGCTGCTATACTTGCACGAGCCACTTTCTTTAGAAAATTGAACTGCTGCATCTCTACATAGACCAAGAAGTGTCTGAAGAAATTAACATACTTGGCAACAGAATATTTAACTGATAAAAGAATTATATTTTTGAGAAAATGTTTACAAAGCATGAAGTTAAAAAGAATCCATACACCTGTATACACGGAAATTACTGAAAACAGAAATCAAGGCTGCTTACATCTTTATGCATTAACAATGAGCATGATGTGGTCACAGTGCAAACCATAGCCCAGTGGTATGTATTCTTGACCTGTTCCAGGTATTCTTATCCTTTACCTTCTTAAATACTGTGTGTGCGATACTTTCGTGGTTTTGTTGCAATAGTGGAACTACACCTTAAAGAAGCTACTTAGTTATGTGCCTCTTGATAGTACGGAAGAATACTGGTGAATAAGTTCTACTTCAGACATTCCATTATCAATGCGATTATCAGCATTCATAACATCTGTATTATAACAAACTCAGAAGAAATAACATAAAAAATATTCAAAGACTACAAGAATATGGAAAAATGGTCAAAAATACTATCCTGGCCTGAAAGAAAATATTCAATTACCTGAGCGGTTACAAAATATAACAAACTTAATTTCGCCCTACTGTGACTCATAAACCTCAATATTACAGTACAACTCATCTGGCTAATAAATGCTGGACTCCTTATCTTACTTCCACTTGCTCCCATGCGACGAACTAGATGCAACACCAGATGTGGCCATATCCACATATTTTGCAATTAAATCAGAACATAGCCATTGTGTATTCTTTCCGATCCCGTCTTTTTACGGAAGGAGTAAACAAATGACGGAACGGAACACTGCCATTTTCGTCTTCTGTGAGCTGACTACAAAGATGGGTGTTTCCTAAGAATTCTACTTATTCTCTCCAATTGTACACTTACCAGACTTTCAATTTCTTCATTTTCCACAAGAGGCTCATCTAATTTATCTGCCTTCTTATCAGTAATGGGTTTCGTTATAACCGTCATTTTAACTATTAAACTTAAACATCAACTGCTTCTCAAACCAATCAACCACCATAAAATCAATGGCGTTATAGTTCCAACAAGTACCGCTATCACAATAGCGCTGCAATAGCTCACGTGAGTGATTGCGAACATCGCGAAGATCACGAAGATCACGAATGAGTGTGCATACGGAGCATACAGACAGATTGTCTTCATGGCCAGTGTTTTCATGATAAGGCATGTAAAGTCTGCATTGTCTTCATCGAAGATGTCTAGAACGTATTGAAGGTATGGCCTAAATCAGGGGTCTCAAAACTTTTCGGACCGCGGGCCACATTAGGTAATTCAGCACTTTCAACTGGCCGGATAAAATGAGAAATTAATAACTCTAGGTATATGAGTTTTATTGGAAGCACAGAATTTCATAAACTAAATACAAAGTACGTGAGATAAATTATCGTATATTAATGACAACAGACAGTAGCAGCAAATGCTCATATTTTCATCACAAATTATAATAAAACAATTAATGTGAATGATGGAACTCTTTTTGCATTCTTAAAATCTGATTAAATTTTGGTTCAGATTTTAAAACGCTAATCACAAGTAGCGACTTTAAATGTTCATCGGATAAATTTACCCTGTATTTTGACTTGATTTACTTCATCTGGGAAAAAGTTTCTTCACATAGATATGTCGTCCCAAAAATGGAGATAAATTTACAAGCAAATTTCTTTAAATTTGGAAATTGCTCAGAGTTCAGACGTTTATAAAATTCGATCAAAATTCGTTCCTTGTATTTGTCTTTAATATGATAATTTTCCTGAAGTTCAATAATTTCCATTTGAATTTGACTTGGGACATCTGCAGCATCACAGTCAAACGGATTTTGAAACAATCTAATTTCCTGAGCACTGGAATCCAAATCAGCAAATCGCTTCCGAAATTGTTCTTTCAAATCTGAAATGACTAAATTTGCAAACGAGGAAGGAAATTCTGCTTCACCCTTTTTATGCAACTCTGCACAGTATAGCATATGAACAAAGTTACAATTTTTCACTTGGCTTTCCAGAAGTATCAGCTTTGCTCTGAATGCCTTGATAAGTGCAAATAAATCACAGACTAAGTTATTTTCACCCTGCAACTTTAAATTCAAATTGTTCATATGGTTCACCAGATCACCAAAGAGTGCTAATTTCCAAAGCCACTCGGTATCTGATAAAAGTGTTTCGTGATGGTTTTTTTCGGTAAGAAATATATCAATTTCATTCCTGAGCTGAAAGAAGCGCGAACGAACCTTTCCACAGCCAAGCCATCGAACTTCAGTATAATATGTCAGGTCAATAAGCTCGGAACCACATTTGCCAGTACTCATTGGAAAATTAGTTCAATTGGCGCATTTCTGCACAATTCTTTCGCGGGCCGTAGTTTGGATACCCTTGGTCTAGATCGTCATATATGGTCATATATCGCTTAACTTCAGCAGCGTCCAAGAGTAGCCGAGAGAAACGTGTGCGTTTAATGTGTTCTACTGCACTTTAATGCAGAAAATTGGCGTAGGAAATTTGTACACCCTTAGGCCGAGCGCACACCAAGGAAACTGACAACTGCAGCGCAACAGCGATTTCCGAGAATAATCGCTGATTTCAAGCAGGCAACTGATTTCCTTCTTAGCAGGCGCACGCTGAGGAAACTTGCGTTCGATTAGTTGCTCACATCATCTCAAGTGGGCGTCTTTGCCCACCAATTTCCTGCACTTCCATTCTGCAATGTCAGATAGTGATATTGTTCCTGTATTGATATGGTGGTGGCTGAGACGGCGTAAGAAGAGAAGACAGGAGAAAAGAAGACACTGGGTGCATCCGTTCTTTAGTGACAATTTAAACTCAGGTGTTTATATTGTTTCGAAAGAACTTAATCAGGATACAGTGTTGCGGGGTTCGCAACCCTTTTTAAAGTTTAGGAACTTGAGTCTGATGTCTTGGATCATGCCCTCTACTAAATTTACAGCACGTCAAGAAGTTGACCTGCTTCCTCAGAGAAAAAATGTTAATCTACCCCTGCCATTCCATAAATTAGTGGAGTCCTGGAGTGTTTTCGTCTGGGACCTATCCTTCAACAGCAGCTGGTGTAATCTGATCTGCGTGAGGGTTCATGTCTTGGGACACTGGTCTGCAAGTTTAGTTTTTAGATAGGTTTTAAGAAGAAGAGGGAAGTTGAAGGGTGCATTTTGTCTGGGTTGGGGCTATGGGAAGGCTGGCCAGGCTTACGTCCACCAGCGCTTGTATGTAATATACACTAAGAATCAATAAATCCTCTATTATCTGTAGTGAGTATTTGCTCTTTGTGGTTGGAATACCCGCTCCAGCAGCCAACTGACCATCACCAACACTGAATTATTACGCTCTCGGCCAACATAATTCAGTCGACCCGCCAACATCTTGGGCCACGACAACAGAGCTGTCCAAATCATTTTACAGAATGAGCATTGAAAGTTTTTCTTCATTAGTGGATCTTGTAGGACCTCAAATTCGAAGATAAGACACAAATTTTCGTACAGCTGTGTCAGCAGAACCATAGGCAAAATTATAATTTTGTATGTTCCAATTTTTATTTTTGGACAGCAGACAAGAAGACAAAAGGTTCTGGACTGAATTACCCAAGTTCACTCTCCTCTAAATTTCCTCCTCGATCATGTTTTGGTTTGCTATCGTCGTTCCAAAATATCTGAACTCTGCCACATTTTTAAACATCTGTTACCTATCTTCATGTCATGATTTTGCTCTACACACGTATTTTGGTGACGAAATATACTTAGTTTTCTCTGTGTTTACTTTTAGACCAGCCTCCTTACTTGCGTCAATAGACATTTTTATGTTTCTCTTTATGGTATCTATATTATCACCTAGTAGAATCATATAACCAGCATAGAGCAACCGTTGATGTGTCCCATTCAATTTCAGTCCCACCTGGTTTTCTTGCAATTTCCTAATGACATATTCTAAAGCAAAGTTGAAAAGTAGTGGTGATAGAGCATCTCCTTGTTTTAGATCATTCTGGATAGGAAAATTGTCATACAAATATTTAGGTGGGCTGACTCTATTAAAATGGATCTTAGAGAAATACGATGGGGTGGATTGGATTGATCTTGCTCAGGGTAGGGACCGGTGGAGAGTTCTTGTGAACACGGTAATAAACCTTTGGGTTCCATAAAATGCTGGGAAGCTCTTGAGTAGCTGCAAAATTGGCGGCTTCTCAAGAAGGGCTCAGCTTCATGAGAGAGAGAGTGTACCAGTTGAAGAAAAAATATTGCTTACTCTGAGGTAAGGAAAGTTTATCTTTTTATTGATATACAAATTCTGCAGATCTCTAAGCAAATATAATACCAGTGCTAGACATATTTTCTTTACATTGTTTATTATAATCAAAATGATGATGATGGAAGGCTGTGATTGTAGAGGGCACAGCACCTGCAAAATCAGCTGGCTGATTACTCTTTAACCCCAGCAGCAGCAACTCCGTCGCAGTACAGTTATATTAATTTAATTCGGCTGATGATTGTAAAGGATGGGGACTAACCCAACTGCTGACTTATCACAAAGCACGGGTCATATTGTAGTAGCTGTTTGCATTGTTTTAGCAGACATATTCTGCATTTTGATCCTATTATATATATATACCAGATTCCTTCATCTCGTGAATTTTTTTTTTCCCTAGCCAAATCTACTTTGTCCCGCCTGGCATAGTCTGGACCGTCTGGACGGTGTTTGTCATATATGCCAAGCTCTTGCTCAATTAACTGCACAAGAACAAATTAGCAGGTTTGTCAACTCTTCGCGCCATCTTCGGAAACAAATGAATCACGGAAGCACGTAATAGAACAGCTGATTTCTAGGAATCCAAGCGGCAACACAATCGTGCGAAGACTGGCATGCTCCGTAGCCTGGAAATTGAGTTTCTCAGTCTGCCGCGAGTTTCGTTGCCGTTTCCTCAATTTGAGCTGCTCCATTCATTAATATGTGTTCAACTCTGGCTGATTACACTTCTCGGAAATCGTGGTTGCATTGCTGTTGCCAGTTTCCTTGGTGTGCGCCCGGCCTTAAATTTGTGCGGTTTAAAACTAATTTTGTTGATCACCCCCAAGTATTCAGCAGAGAAGAATAAAGAGCATAGATTTGTCACTAAGTAGCGTCCTTTTTTAGTTTTCAGAAATATCTCATAAAGAAATGGTATCTGCAAAATTACGATAAATTTCGCGATATTTTTGTTCTCTTTGTCATGGAGTCGCACGTATATGGTAATTATAAATTAAACAGTAGTATAAGATAATAGGGGTGATGACAAATTTAGCTAATATATACTGATAGTTAAACCCCCACCCCCAAATGGAATTCATAATTGAATTTTAATGTGGCAGTGCCCTCTACTCGAGAGGTAGAGACCGAGATCCAAAATTCGGGAGACTATAGACTCTTGTAGATTCATTCGACAGACACTGTTAAAGGCAGTTCAATAGCTAAATAGCTAAAGTGTTACCAGGCAATGACTAAGCAAGCAGAAGTTGAAGACATTTTACGTGTTAGGGCAAGGGCACACGAAGTAAACTGACAACCGCAACGCAACCGCAATTTTCGAGAATTGTTTTCAACCTGAAGTGGAGCAGCACAAGTTGAGGAAACTGCATTGTAGTTAACTGTACTAGTACGTACGACTTGTGAGAATCCAATAAATCCGTTTGCCAAACCAAACCCCGTAAACAAGTCACTAATACATGAGACAGTATTCAAACCAATTAATAATATCGTGGAAAACGATAAAACTTGGAGGTAGAATGGTATGTGTAAATTTTACATTGTGCGGTGCTGTGTATGCCTAAAACCAAGGCTTACAGGAAAAAGTAACAGTTGCAGACAGAAGTCTCAGTTTGAGTGGCATTTTGAAATGATGGAATAAAAAATATCCGACAATAAATCGGAAGTTATGTAAATTAGGTAAGTACATAGTACGCGCAAAGACATGAAGAAGAATAAATTTGGAACATATCAAAATTTTTAAATCCTTTGGGCAATGGATTTGTAGCATGGGGATAAATAGGAATATAGAAAAGAATATAATTAATTTAATGGGGCATCGAAGAGATGTAATAATAGAAAAGGAATACGATCGAGTTGTGAGTTCGTTAAGAGGCCTGTTAATAAAGTTCGCGATCTCGCCACCGTGTGTTTGCCGTGGCAGAAGTGGACAGAAACCTCAATATGGTCTGATGACGTTGGCATATGAGCGTTTCACAGTTGTGTTGTTGTTCTGCGTGAAAAGTTAGACGGAAACGACCCGAAATTTTTGCCCAAAACTCGTGGATCTTGCATCACGATAATGCACCCCTTTACACGGCACTGTCCGTGAGGAAGTTTTTAGCCAGTAAATAAATAACTGTGCTGGAACACCGTCCCTATTCACGGGATCTAGTCCCCAGTGATTTTTCTCTGTTCACGAAGATAAAGGAAATATTGAAAGGAAGGCATTTTGATGACATGGAGTAATACGACGACAGCTCTGAAGGTCATTCAATAGAACCAGTTCCAAAATTGTTTTGAAGGGTGGACTAGGCGCTGGCATCGGTGCATAGCTTCCCGGTTCCCAAGGGAGTACTTTTAAGACGACCACATTGATATTCAGTAATGAGGTATGTAGCACTTTTACCGTGATGAGTTCACGAACTTCATTGTGTGGCCACGTATGTCTCAACCAGCTCAATGTGTCTGTATAAATGTTAGACCTATATAGCCAAGGACAAAAACGAGTACTGAAGTAGCACAAATGGGACCTAAATGTAGGTTAAAGGGAGTAAAGCTAAGACATTGACAAGGAAGTGAGGATACAATGAATTGATTTTAGGTAATTAGATGACAAAATGGCATTATAACATACCAGGAGTGGAGAAATCATGTTCACAGAATCACTATTGAATACCGAAATAAGTATTCCGGCCCTCGAAGAAAGAGGGATTTAGGGAGTCCATGAATGAATTTGTCTTTACTCTCTGTAAATGGAACACGTGTAAGCGGCTTAAATCCCATAAAGAAGAAGCACACGTGGTCTAAACACTCTTTCGCAATCTAAAAGGGGACATACACATGTGAACAAATGCGGCGATAGAATTAAGAATGATGCGTTTCACGAGACTTGAATGATTTTCAATGGTGCACATACATCCGTTACTATATTATCCGGTTTCTGCTTTTAGGTATCATGGGTATCAATGTATACCGTCGTGGCCGGAGATAACCATCACAACCAAGACGTTGATACGCGTTCCCTGAAACGTCCCTGCGTTTGTTAATTGCATTGTGATACTACATTATGACGGTTGTTTCGTTTCTTGTCTAATTTGCGGAGGGTCTTATGTATGCGTACTGTTTATGGTCCTTTGCCATCAATATTACTCACTGAAATGCGGACCATGTAACAGAGTACACGGAGTACACTATTGAATTCAATTGCTGGGAAATCGCTCTCTTAACTTATCCATAATGAAAGGAACCGATTTCCATTAGTTTATAGATGCAATGTCGGGAGTCCCTGCAAATTCGCGAAAATAAATCTGTGATCACGGAATATCACCGACAAAGTTACTGTTACGCTTATTTTATTTTCACTCCGTGATATCAGTGGTTGTTGTGATGTGATTATTACATGATTGTTTATCTGTGGTAATAATTAAGAACAGAGTACGCACGTAATTTTGCTAGTTATATTTTGTATTATGCTATGTCAGTTGGAAGAAGTAATATTTAATATTCACAAATTTAGTTCTTATAAGCTGTCACTTCAAGCGCTTTCTACAAACCTCCTACGAATATTTCATGTAGTATTCAAGTCGTAAGTCTTGTAAATTTCAGAAGCGTTCAAAGTCCGTAGGGTCCGTAGTCCATGATCCCTGCTGAGGGAGGGAGAGGTAGCTCGGAAGAAGAACGTCTGTATCTATCGTATCTATGACTCGCCAGGGAATATGTCAAGCCTGAAAATTGGTAAGACTATCAGATTGTATGCTTAGTACTGCCATTAAATGCACCAGTTATTATATGTTGTTACTGAGATGTAAATATTGAATAGCAAATGTATTTGTAGTTTATTGTTGGATTTGTGCAGTTGTATTACAAAGTCGTAAGCATCGCAAGAAATGCATATTATTTATTTGGTTTATTACTTCTGTTGCAAAATGTGAACGGTTATTTAATATGCTGAGTTTGCTGGTCTTGATCGTATTTGTTTTATAATTGGAGTACAAGCACAATATTAGCTGTTAAGCTCTGGAGACTTGTAGTACTTTGAGTTGTATCTAGAGGTTAAGATTTACACTGATTTATTTATAGCACTAGACTTGAAGTATCGTAATATGAGTTTATGATCCAGAAGTCGCATGAACGCAGCATGGGGGAAAACCGTTAACCCACTAACTGCTTGGCTTTAGTGATAGCTGTAGATATATATTTTTTCATGTCACAAGATTTTATAAGTGTGCTTTAAATAGGTAATAGTAGTGTAGGTACTTACTTATAAATTTGAATTCCAGAATTTTACATTATGCTGAAATATTGCACAAAGACTTACTCTATTCCTCCAACTCCTCTGAGCTCGCTTAGCAAATGTTTACTAAGAGGAACAGTATTGCCTGAGAGTGTCTGGACTGATAATTGAACAAGTTTATAGTTGCAATATTGCCAGTGGCATTTTAAAAGTATTGAAGCTGGGATGGCTCAATCAAGTGACAGATATGGATTGGATTGCCTGTAGGGGCAGAAATTTTAGTTTCTGTCACTGGATCCAGACCAGCTCTGGGGCCCATCCACCTTCATATCCAAGGGTACAAGGAACCTTTTCACATGGTGGCATGATTTATATCTCACACCTCCATTTAGTTCTATGGCTATGAATGCGTTTCCCTAGGGCTGTACATGGCCTGGTGTTTAAGCACAGGGATAACTTTACTTTTGTGTCTTTATTATATATGTGTGTGGAAGTTGATACAGCATCATGTCTGTATTTTGAAAAACACAAAAAGGGAGGCTGATATAATTACATTGTATGTTGTGGACAAATTGTATGTGATGAAAAGGAGATCAGTTTAATCCTCACTTGTATTACATTTTTGGTGTTCATATGGTATATCTCTGACTTTGTGTTACTCCTTCCGTATTGATTCACGTTTGCATTAAGCATGGCATAAAGCTGAATCGTGCACAGAAAGGACAATAGTATTTGAGTAGCATTTGCCATTCCCTTTATTTCTAAACAGAAACTGGATAAAGTGGTCAAATACCGCGTTTCCTTTGTAGATTTCTTAGTACAACTTTGATTCCTTTGAAATCCAGGTTAACTAAAAAAAATGTTCTCTTGTTGAAATATCATCAGTATATTGTGTAGGTGACTGTCCTGTGGTTTTCTTATGTCTCTTCAAAGCAGTGTCAGGCCATTATGTTCCTGTGACATTCGTCTTAACACCTTTAAAAAATGTGATCTTGTGCTACAAAGAAATATGAATCGATAAATTAATTTGTCTTAAATAACTAACTGACAGTGGAAATGTAAAAACTTCTCTGGTACTACTTTTGATACGTGGCCTGAAAGCTGAAAGTTTCTCATTGGAACCAAACAAAATGCAGTGTTCTGGTTTCTTTTACATCATGCCAGCATTTGTCTTGTGAGCAAGATGTGGTGCATTTTACAACATACAGAATTGAGCTGCTCATTATTGTGATGTTACTTGGTGCTGGTGTATTTTGTGAGAAACTTTTCATTTTCCTGGCAGATATCAGATTCTTATCATAGAGAAAACCACAGTTGTAACATTCTTTGATTCCTCATTCTTCTACACCAGACAAAACTGCCTTATGCCTAGTAATAGACGTATGGACAGGCATATAATTTAGATGAGAAAAGCAAGAACAGTACTCATTACTAGACCTTGATGTTGTTGAGACTGAACTGGGTGAGTACCCTGCATGTGACATATATGTGTTTAGTTGTGTTATCTGATGTTGACACAGCAGAAACTCCCCTTCTGTCACACTGTAGTTTCCAGTTAAACTTGGTACACACTAAAATGTTCTGTGAGCCTCCTTGAATTATAGTACAGCGTACGCATTTCTGGAACTTTGTCCATTTGGCATTTGCTGCTAGTTATAATACATATGTTACATCATAACAAGTTTCCCAAAGAATTAAGTTGTCTATTATCCATGAATGTCTCCACCTTTACATAGAAGTTCACCAAACTTTGTTGCCTGTCTTGATGAAATGTTCATGTGAAGGATATTTTGTGCTGTCATCAGGCACAGTTTTAAATGGAAGAGAAATGTAGGTCCCTGCTCATGGACTGTTTCATGATGTTAACATGCACCACCCATCTCTTATCCTGGACCACTATTTTTCCGTGTAATACTCTGCCTCACGGCAGAGCTTATCCCCGTGGCATGCTACAAATGTTTCTGCTGTGACCACCAGCAGCATGTTGGTGTTGTTTGTTTGTTTGTAGTGTTGATTGTGATGGGCCGTGTCAGGTGACTTCTGCTTGCTCATAGCACACACAGGGCATGGGAGAAATGTTGGATGCGAGATCCCATCGAGACCCAGGAAGTTGGCAATCCAAGAGCAACATTCGCCCTCCACTTCACCACATGGCAGCAATGCGGCATGGTATGGCTTGCTAAGCCCCCCTTTAGTTGTGACACATTGTTCTGATGTATGCATTTGTTTGAACGTAAGAATAAGGGATGGAGATACAGATTCTTGGGCAGTTCCATACGAGTAATCGAAAAATAGAAGCTGGGTTCAGAATCATTCAAGAGAGAATAGTCAGGCTTGGTTATTGTAGGTACTGATTTTCCTGCATAGAGCTGAAATGCTTGGAAATGTCTCAAAATAATAGCCGCTGTGCTTGAATTTTGTTATTCCTTTTCCACAAGTTATTTGATGACAGTATTAAGAATGTAGCATCAGATGATAGGATGGATTGAAAAAGATTTGGAAGGGACTGGCCATGGCATAATTAAGGTACATCCCCAGCATTTGCCTGGAGGGACTGTGTAAAACCACAGAATATCTCGGGCACAATAGGTGTTGTCCCAATCAAGATTCGAACTGAGCACCTCCCAAATACAAGTTTCTGGTAGATCATTGTGTATGGTGGTTATTTTTGAGGTGCTTAGGTTCAGAAGCACCTGTGTTCACGTGTTTTCAGTTTGTTATCTGCCCTTTTGACATTATTATTTTTGCATACTATCCTCATAATGTCCAGATAACTGAGAATGCAAGGAGTTGTGTCCTCTTTATATGGAGCTCTGGCAGAAGGCTGGCTTTATTTTTCTGTACTTTATTTTGACCTTGAAGATACCTTTTATTGTAAAAAGTAAAGTAAAGCTGTCCCCGTACCAAGCCGTGAAGGCCCATAGGGTTGTGAGACATTGAGGGTCCCACATTATCTAGACACTCGGCTCAAAGATGATGGTAAGGTTGTCAGCCTTATTCACTGGCTGCGCTTTACTCCCCAGGAAAATTATTTAGTTAATTCCTGGTACTCATTTCTATTAAGATTCTGAGTGAACCCCAGGGCCATAGTGTGGCTGGAAGGATTAGGTCAATTGAAAGAAATCCAATGAACTCATCTGGACTTGAACCCGCGACCTTCCAGCTTGAATTAAAATTGTTATCTTGTAGGATGTGATGCTGTGCGGTCTGGAGGATACACTTTTTGATCCATTGGTACTTCCAGACCCCATGGCATTGCATCCCAGAAGTAATCTCAGTATTTCATAATTCATAGTTCATAATTTATCTACATCCATAAACTGTTGCTCAAGTACAATTGGACAAGTCAGTTTAAACCATCTAAAACATTGCAAGTTAACAACTGCTAAAACTGTACAAAATGATACACAAGACCAAGAACAATACAATTATCTTAGGCTCAATGTCCCCATGCTGAAACTAGCAACCGAGGATGACAACCCCCCAACAGTCCAATATAAAGTGACACATACACTTACACCATCTACATACATCCACACCACATCAGAACCAACCCGAGCCACCAAACTACCATCCATTATTGTTACTAAAAAACTCATGCAGAGAATAAAAACAGTTCTGTAATAAATAACTTTTTAATTTATTTTTAAGAACTTTAAAATTTTCCATTCCTTTTAATTCATGAGCAAGCTGTTATGCATTTTAATTCCCATGTTAATTACACAAAAATTTGCAACGAACAGGGTTGCATGATTGTACATACAGATCCGGTTTTCCTTAGTGTTATACTTGTGAATGTTGGAATAATGAGTTGTGTAAATCTTGTTATGAGTCTCTTATGGATTTAATCAAATAAAGAGCGTTGCTTAATTTATGACAAATGTACTGTATATGAATGGCCCATCTTAAGTTATCGGTGATATAAATACCAAAAACATTTAAATTTGATAAGTTATTTCTTTATTTTTTAGACACAGAATGGGTTCATGTGTTAAACTAGATCCTCTTCCCTAAAATAGTATTGCTTTAGTCTTTTCAGTATTTATTATAAGATTATTTGTTAGGAACCAGTTTCCTAATTGTTTCGTGACTTTTACTGATTTTTCTTTTAAAAATGGAAGGTTTTTCTCAGTGCTATATTTGTGTCATCCGCAAATAACACCACCTTAGCTTCTTCAACAGCTTGGGGCAAATCGTTTGTAAACAACAAGAACAGAAAGGGTCCAAAAATAGAACCCTGAGGTATGCCATATTTTATTTGTTTACAAGATGAAGCAAACAGCTTTATATTTGCAGTCTTTTCATCTAAATGCTGTACTTCCACAAATTGAGTTCTACCAGTAAGATATGAATTCATCCATGAGTGTATTTTCCCTCTAAGTCCATACAGCTCCAGTTTGGCAAGCAGTAATTTATGATTTATTACGTCAAAGCCTTTTCTTTTATAATGCTAGTGTTGTGGGACTAAGTCCCTTGTACTGCGGCCACTTCTAGCCTATTGTACCAGTCCCAGATGATAGGTGGTGATAGTGGAGCAATTGGTGGAATGAAGAGTGGCAGGGGAAACTGAAGTACTTGGAGAAAATCTGCCCCAGCACCACTTTGTCCACCACAAATCTCACTTGACTAGACCTGGGATCGAACCCAGGCCGCCGCCATGGGAAGCCAGCAACTAATCACTTGAGCTATGGCACAGCCCAATCAAAGGCCTTAGTTAAATCTAAAAATATGCCCATAATGAGCAGCTTATTATGTAATGCTTTCTGGATATCTTCTATGAAGGTCTGTGTTGCTCTTTCTTCTCTCTGAAGCCATATTGTTGTGTTTGTTTAAGGAGGTCAGTAGTCTTTTGAAATTTACCTACATACCCCCTATATGACTTCATGGCCTGATGCTTACACACAAGGAACAGGAACTACTTTACTTTGTAGTTATCATAATCACCATCATTCTTGTAAAAGAATTTTGTTTTGTGAATTTTAATTTTAATTTTGTAGTGCTCAAGAAGTAAAATTTTGAAATTATTGCTTTTATTGTTTCTCATTTGGCTAGAACACAAACAGTCTATGTGTATATGAGTTATGTAGGTCATTAGAACCTTAAGATGATGCAGTTCATTCATGAGCACTCTTATGTTGGCAGGCAAAACCAGCCAAGAAGACGTGTGTTATGTGGTTGCCAAGTATGACTATGCAGCTCAGGGTGCACAGGAGCTAGACCTTCGTAAGAATGAACGCTACCTCTTGCTGGACGACTCAAAACATTGGTGGCGTGTGCAGAATGCCCGCAACCAGGCAGGCTATGTGCCCAGCAATTATGTCAAGAAGGAGAAGCCTTCCCTGTTTGACAGGTAGCATATGAAGTGATTGAGTGATCACAGTTGCTTATGTTATTCTTAGTGTTAACCAGTGTAACATTTAGCAGCCTTCAAGAATATTGAGTTTCTGGACTTTTTTCAGAATGTAGAATCCTGAGAAGAAAAAAAAAGACAGCATTTTGGAAACTGGATCTGTTTCTGTCTGTGGGTGAAAATGTGGAAGGAACCCACTCATTTGGATCTGTTAACAAAAAGCTAATCTCAGTTACTGAATAACCTAAAAGCAGTTCAGTTTCTGAAATGAGTTCTTTCAGAATTCTAAACGATGGATAAAGTCTAGAATTTCATTAATCCCAAGAATAATACACCATAATCAGAAGTCTGGAATTGATTTATTACCATGCATGAAGATATGTCAGCAAAGTTAAAAAATATACTTCTTCTTCTATGTTGATGTCTTTTTCCAACAAATTTGGATTTATTTGACAGATTGGGTCAATTTCTCTTATTCCAGATTAGTTTACTTCATATCTGTGCAATGTTTTATGTTGTGTGATGTCCACTAAAGAGGTTCTGCTCTATCATAACTGAGTAATGATATTTGTGACTTACTGTAAGTGCCTCATTTAAACCTTAGATGAGAAGGATCTGTCTATCCTGAGTGAAGTTTCTTGGTTTGATTGATTAATTAGTTTAAAGCTACTGATTTTAAGCTTTTTTGGTGATTCGTTGTTCTTGGCTCCCTGCCCTGTGTGGATGTGAGGAGTGTTGCTAATCTATTGAATGTAGATGCTCCTGGGTAGTAGTTGAAAATTGTTAATTATAGTGGAAGTTTACCGTTATTAACACATCAAACCAGAACTGAAGTTAATTATTGTATATTTTGATAGTGGCATTTTCTTGGCAGCCAGTATATCAGTCATACTGCCATGATTTGGTTGCTAGAGGGAATATGGCGATTTTTCCCTGTACCTGCAGGAAAAATATGATATAGCACCCTGAGGTAGGTGTGATCATTCTCATACATATGCCCCTATAACTCCTGTAACTGAAAGAGGTTGATTGGAAATGAGCTTAAGTGAGAGGAATGTTACACAAGACATAGACGGTTCTGACACTTAGCCTCAAGTTACTGACATTATTCACGTCTTCCAGTATCAAGAAGAAAGTGAAGAAGGGTTCTGGCTCAAAGACACTCCCTTCCAGCAACTCTCCCTCCAGAGCAATTGAGTCTCCAACAATGGGACGCCGGCTGCCCGCAGACCCTGCAGAAGCCATTGGGACTGCAGTTGTCAAGTATAACTATCAGGTGCTGCAGCTACTGAACTTCATCTTTCTTTTTGTTTTGTGGTGTAAATCTAAAATGATCGTCTTTGTGAACTGTGAAGAACAAGTTTCATGCTCATATTGTTAGGTGTATTAGTAACTATAGACAGATTTTGTATTGGTAATTGGATTTATTGACCACTTACAGGTCATAACTACAAATAAGTATAACACTGTTACTGATTTTCACACTACAAAGAACTCCGGACTTAGATCTTCTCAGTGTGCTGTCACTAATGTTCGTAAAAGTTTTCAAAAATGGCTATTCCTTTACAGTGTTTTCACTGTCCATTTCCTGGCAATGGATTTTAACACAGGAACTATAACCTGCAAGCTCTAGACATCACTGTACTGCAGCACATGTTAAGTCTTCACAGCCTGACTTCTTTTAATCTTCTGTACTCCTCCAATGTGCTGCTACAGCTTCGGAATTTGGCTGACTTAAGTAGATGCAGCACACACTAGGCATCACAGGAAACCCATGTCACATGATTACTACTCAGCCAGTCCTCTGATGTGCTGGCTGTTGCCTAGTAGTGGTCTCGGCATGGACCTACAGAAAACATCTGCCTGCACCGCTCCTTCATCTGTTGTGTGATGTAACCGTGCATGTGTGAACGTACCTAGTGCGCAATGCATGGCAACATTCCATGCACAGACCACAGAAAACACTATTCCTGTATTGTTGGCCACATGTGTTGTGGGCATTGCAGTGGGTTGATACATCGTAATATTGATACATCTCATTTTCACAGCCTTTGAGCCATGGTTCTGTAGTCTACTTCCTAGGTTGCCATGGGATGCTGTCATCCTCACACAGCTTATTACCATATAGAGTCCTCAAGTAGTCAGTAGTTTGTATTAAATCTTTAGATTCATCATCATCATAAAAGCCTGCCATTAGAACCCATCTTATCCAGTTCAGCCCACAATCCAATCTTCAATGTTCATTGTAGGATTGTCCTTCTATTATGCTTCAGTCTCTGAAGTGACCTTTATCTGCTGGGCTTTCCAGTTAAAATCTTTTCTGCATTTTCTGTCATACATTTGTCAATCAGATATTTATGTCCACAGGCTCAACAAGCAGATGAACTGTCACTGGTGAAAGGTACCCGTATCCTGATCCTGGAGAAGAGTAACGATGGGTGGTGGCGGGGACAGAGCAACACAGCGACTGGCTGGTTTCCAAGCAACTACACACAGGAGGAGGGCGATAGTGATGATACACTGCATACCTATGCCATGGCAGAGAATGTATTGGACATTGTTGTAGCACTCTATTCCTTCTCCTCCAATAATGATCAGGAGCTTGCATTTGAGAAGGGTGACCGCCTAGAGATACTGGACCGGCCACCTGCAGATCCTGAATGGTACAAGGCTCGTAATGGGCAGGGCCAAGTTGGATTAGTCCCACGCAACTACCTACAGGTGAGTATATCTTCAGCTGGAGTGGGCCTTCGTATGTTTCATTTCCTTCATATTTATGTTTCTGATTTTCTCTTCTAAAATTTTTTTTTCTGAATTATTAGAAATATGGACTTGGTCAGTGTTTTGTTAATACAGATTTTACTTCTGCTTACATTTTTAACTCTGTATGCCGTACCAGCCTTGTTCATTTCCACCAAGTGTTCATGATCAGTTTTGATTATCTAGGATGTAATCTGTTTGGCATCAGAGATGAAGAATGATGAAGAAGGAAGTATAAAAGAGTTACATGAAACATCTGAAGGGCTTGTCAGGCTAAGGTTAATATACGGCATTGAAATATGACGATGGAAGAATCATTCCATGTTGAATCAAACTGTGTTGTCAGTCATGTCATCACCAGTTTTCATAATTTTTGTTTTACAAATAGATGTCCATGAAGTAAAATTTTCCCAGACTTCAAATTTGTTTTTGTTAACCCTTTCGCGCGGTCATTTAAATTCCGCTGCCGTGTCTCCGGCGGTAATATATTCAGCCGTCCATTTAAATTTTGCTCGAAAATGATTTATTCATCATTGTTCTTAAATTATATGAGATAGAAACATGAAACTTTCACTAAAATTATCTTAAAAGGTGGTTTTATAACCGTACCTTATAATATGAGCGCCCGGTATCTCGGCAATGGAAGCAGTTGGTTTAGAATTTGAGCAGTGTAAGGTAGGCCTTGAAGCATCAAACTTTCACTAAAATGATCTTAAAAGATGGTTTTATAACCTTGCCTTATAATATGAGCGCCCGGTATCTCGGCAATGGAAGCAGGTGACACCTTGAAGCATTCACCACACCAATATTGTGTATCTTTTCTTTGGCCCTTTTTTTTT